GACATCTCCAGCCGATATGTGCCCCGATCATTTAAAATATATGGCTTTTTCTCACATAGTCTCGCCGGTTGAGGATAATAACTCCATGGCATTTGTCAGACAGTACATACTACACGCACGTTAGTGGCTAATTTTCTAGACGTCATAGATTTTGGTGATAAAGTAGGACTGAGGCCAACCAACTACTTCAGCAAAAGCTAATCGCTTAAGTCTGCATTTCAAAGGTGGCAATTATGTATCATGGTAGTAAAAGCACGGTTGATGTTTCGGAATCTCGGTCCGAGATCTTCAAAAGCCAAATATTATAATGTTTTAACACAAGATTGTCTTCCTTGGGAGTGGAGCTTTATTAGACTGTCATTTCTTGTTCTGACTTGCAATCTTCTCTAGAGTTAACATTATATAAGCTTTTTGGGTTCTATACGAGTCTCCTTTAGATCCAATTACTGCGAAGCTCGGCTCTATGTCTTCCGCCTCTGTAGTTCTACTGCGTTTACAGTAAATTGAATTTTAATTATTAAGGCGAAAAACCATAACATAACGTGGTTCTCCGTTTCACAGGATTTGTTCTAGTGGAAGGCGTGACTGACTCCGTCGGCAGGAGCCTGAAGCTTATAAGTAACAGAGCATCTGGAAACGAAGCTCAGCTTTAAGTAAAATGACCGTAAGTAGCGTAGGTGGTCTAATTAATTATCCATGCATAAAATGTCGTAAAAAGGTCTAATTGCTCCTCAACTGACGTAATTTAATTGAAAAATATCCTATTAGAAAGGGACAACAATCCCCTAAATAAAAAACGCGCACAGCTATTTATAGTAACGGTACATATGCATAGGGAATTGGAGGGATGAAAAGCAAACAATACGCCCCATTCTGTATGTCCAAATGATTGCTGAAAAGGCCGTTTCCTTAATTTATCTTTTTCAAAATCTTAAAAAGGCGGTCTTTTAATGTGTTTTGTCTTAATATTAGAGTAAAATGAGGCTTCCATTGCTCATGTGTTGAGGTAAATTAAGGTGTTCTCCAAGACTGCCAGATAACTGAATGAATGTATGTATATAATATGCTAGTATCCAAGACTAAACTTTCTCCAATACGTTATTTATTTAAGTAATACTTTGCTGGCATGCATACACAAAATGTTTATCCACTTTCTAAATATATTCAAAGTGAAAATTGAACAGTGTAACCCTTCATCTATTTCCAGAAACAAAACGGGCTATTCTCCCTCTGAAATTTAAGACACTTTCATTTATTTGCTGACTTTGAACTGTTTCTGCTATCTTTCCTTAACCCGTGACCTGAAAGAAAAATGTAACATAGGATAGCAATTAAACCGTTGAAATATTCCACAGTCTACTAACGCACTGTCTGCTTTACCACTCAATTACCTCTTTGTGTAAAATGATACATATCACAAATATCGTTTGGCTCTAGAAAAGTTAGAAGGATGATATGCTAATGGGAGGTTAGTGATTAATTATGGGTTTGCTGTTGAGGCCTGCAAATTATGGGTTTAGAACCATAATAATCTGCCTTTTGATGGCGATACTTCCTGACAAAGCGGCACATCACGTGGATTTTTCAAGCAGTATTTTGCCAATGAAAACATTCCTGTTGCCCTGGTGGTAATTTAGCTATCCACATCTTGTCTCACCCGATTTCAGGACTAAGGGAGTTTTCAGTTCACAAAAATTGTTTTTTTTCAAGATTTACCACTGGCAACAATACCGCCCATCGAATAAATGAATGCAACCATGGAACTCTGGTACTCTATAGTAATTAATAGCATTATATACTTCTGAAAGGGAAAAAAGGGGTGAATTCAGGTTGAAACGACGCAACGTTTCCTCCTCAGAATAAATCAGAAACACAGTTTTGTAGGTAAATGCTATTTTACGCAGCATGTTAGACTGAAGAAATTGAACAACATCTAAG